AAAAAACAACCAATCACTAAATGTCCCGTATGTCCCGCTCATAAAACAATGTTCATAATGAATAAGAAAACCTAAAGAATTAAAAAATCAATTTTATCTTTAATCTAAATTTATTCAAATAGGCAACATTTTACTTTGTTATTACCAATAGAAAATATTTTTCATGTATAAAATTTAATCTACGACCATAAACTATTCTGAATTCTCTTTTTCTTTAAATTAAAAATAGAGAAATAATTTGTTTATTTATAGCATTCAAAACTCAACTAAATTCCGTAACCGACTGCCACACATATTTTGTATAATAATAATTCAAATAATGTGTTATAAAATGACAAAAATGCACTCTTATCAAACAATATAGATCAAATACTTTATAACATTATTTAATGGGATAAAATTTTATTCTCTCTTCTTCTCTAGCAATTAGTCGAAGAAAAACGTGCGAAGAAATTAATGAACCGTTCATTATTAAATTATTTACAGAATACAAAAAGAATTTGTCTGAATATGTTGTTTTAATAAGACACTTTCTTTTAATAAAATTTTTGTATTGTTATATTATACAAAGATTGCATCTTAAGGGTGTGTGTGGGTGTGGATATAGAAGAAAAAACATCAACTAGGCACCATCAGTCACAACCACACTCTTAATACAAAGTTAACTATTTTTAAAACTGAAGTAATTGATCGAAATGAAAAACGTGCCATACAATTATGTATACACAATATTCTAAGAATTTATCTTAGAAAATCAGGATTTTTCCATTATAATAGTTATAAGCGGATTCTTTTTTTTTTGATCAGAAAAATAAAACGCTTGCGAAGCCTAATATTATATGCATGGATAGGTTCTTTTTCACTAATATCCTGCTTAGGAAAAAAGCTGTTAGCGCAATTCTTCTGAAATTAAAATGGGAAAAAGGAAATATCTACTCTGTGGTACTAATTGTTGCGAAGTAAATAATATTAAAACAAAATAATAATGACCGTCTCGATCGTCTGTGATGACCTTCCTTCTTACCGCAATGTCATTCATTTATTCAAATTATGGTATAGATCTTGAATTAATTCGTATGCAAAAATATTCAGATATGAAAAGAGATATGAACTATCTTAATCCTCAAATTTGAATTCTGTAATTGAAATGTATTGTTTCTGTTCTAACAGAATACCAAAATTGTATTGATGTTAATCTTTAGATTTGCATTAGTTATTTTTGCTTTCAGTATTTTACGTACTCAAATTATTTTTCTCACATGCTTAACAAATATAATTAAGATCAAAAAATTTGTTTTCATGACTTTTAAGATTTTTTTATTGTCACGACCTTCTTCATCCATTTATAAAAATGCTATTTTCACTGTGGTTTTCATCATAAAATTTATTCATACGTTATGAATTAATGCCTTCAAAACTTTTGCCTATCTGTCATTCATTTAAAATTATTTTTACTCCGTCATTTTTCTGTATATCATTTTTCTAACTTGGAATGGAGACTCACAAAATGAATGCGTCTGAAAATACAAATTTTACTAAACACAATGAAACAGAGAGCCCATTTCAATTTATTTCCAGAGATGTATCATTCACACTCTTAATAACCTTTGATATTCCATCTATTCTCATGCATCTTATCGTGTTTATTCTTATTTTTTTCAATAAGACTCTTCGTTCGGCACCAAATAATTATGTTATTTTATTTACATTATGTCATTCCTTTATCATCACCGCTTTTATGATTCCAACAGTGATAGATTCACACAGATTAAAACCAACTATTCATTGGACTCTTGCATCGTGTAAAATTAGATCATTTATTGAGACTTTATCTTCTAATATGATGAATCTTTTAGTTGCATGGGCATCATTTGAACGACATCTTCTCATTTTTCATTTTAATCTATTAACTATAAAATGGAAAAAGTTTTGTTTTCATTATATGCCACCGATTCTTATTACCATTTATCTTTCGATATTTTATATTTATTCCAGCTTTTTCTTTCCATGTGAACATCAAGTGGATTTTGTCAATAACATATGTTATTATGGTTGTCAATCAAGGGATCCAGTTTTGGGTATGTGGCAAACAAGTATTCATATCTTATCTCCAACGATATGCGTATTGATATGTAATGCTGCCCTTTTATTTCGAGTTTATCGATCAAAAACTCGTCTTCGACAATCAATAAATTGGCGAAAATATCGATTAATGATCTTTCAACTTGTTTCTATCTCATGTTTCTATCTTTTATTTAATCTACCATTTGCGATTGCCTATTTATGGGTTTTAGTAGCTCCGACACCTTTCATAATCACGGTATTGCAGCGAACTGGTTTTCTCACATATTTTATTTATTTACTATTTCCTTTTGTGTGTTTGTGTTCAATACCACAATTGGAATCGAAAATAAAGAGAATTCTGCCTCGTCGAATAGTACCTGTTGATTACAAAGTGCAACCAAGAGCGGTTCGCCCTGTGAAGACTCAAGTGCAATAGATAACACTTGTATCGAAGAACAAAACTAAATAACATTTTGTCATTTTTTTCAATATATTCATATAGTTTAATGTAAATGTTGTAAATGCTAGTGTGTCGTTTTTTCACCTTATATTCAAAATAAACCTATCGATGAAAACAAGAACATTTATATTACTGATTTTGTTAATCACTGTCTTGTTGATTGAATCCAAACCTTTTCATTCATTTCTTTTTTTGTTAAAAAAACTTAAGAAAACGAAAAACTAATGAATCTTTTATTACGTTTTTAAAATTTTTTTGATTCTCTATTCCTTCGACTGTAGGAAGGGTAACATGAGATAAATTGCGATTGTTTGTTTGCTTGCAACGGGATCAAAAAAACATCCAAGGAAAAAAAATATACACAATACGTCGTAAAACTTCACCGAAGGATTTTTTGGGTCGCAGAACTCGAATCTGAGGCCTGAAAGGGTGTGGGTGAGAACCAATAGAAATCGAGTATTGAGAAAAAGAGATTTTTTGAAGCTGAAAACATTCTACTTCATAATTTTTCAAAATGTTCATAGATAACTAATAAAAAGAAAACTCAATAAGAGAAAATCGTTGCTAATGTATATAAAAGACGGACTGACACGCTTTCCATTCTAGAATTATTTATTGAAACAAATAAAAATCAATCAATTTAAATGCATATATGACTTTGATATTAGGTGGGTTAAATCACCTGAATCATCTTGAAGGTATGGATGAGATTATTCTCTTATATATTACCCACATTCTGAAGTACACTCGTTTTTGAAGAACATATCAGTGAAAAGTATAGAAAAAATGCTTTGAAATATTTGTTTTTGAAGTGGTGTTCCCAAGATAGGATAAAATAATATTTTTATTGAAAAATATCTAAAGAAGAAAATTTACTGTTAACGTCATGTTGACTTGTCCTATATTATGCCCTTTATATATATATATTGTGAACTATTTACCTAGCCTTGAACTTCCGTTCGACATACTCCATCCATGGTTTCCTATATGTGACCGATTGACCTTTGTCTATGTCTGTATAATGCATATGTAGAGGTCATTTACAAGGAACTTCATCGCAAGCTGACCTCTCTATAGTTGTATATTCGATAGAAAAAAATATTTAGAGCGATGAACTATAGCCATATATATAAATAGCATACCAAATAATACAGATAGACAATCATTCCAATTTATTCATTAGAAAAATATTTGTTTTTATTCAAATTTCAGTTATTTTAATCTAGAGTTTGATAATATTATTTTATTTTTCTTATTCTAATTTATCTATACAATGGATAGCGATAATGGAAAACCAATAGTCGATAAAAGTAAGTATACTAAATCAATCACCATCAATGATTACAATTTTTATTTAGAATCTTGTGTAATTGAACCTGATTTTAAAAGAAAAATATTTGAATATAAACATGAAAATCCATCCATCTTTGCATGGGAAATTCGTTATCGTCTTTTCCAAGAAATGAAATGCAAGTTAGAAGACGTTCCAAGTGTATGTCATTTGATAAATTATTCTGATGAAATTTTTTCTATTCTTGATATATTTTCTCATTTCAGATATCATCAATCCTTAAAGTTTTAAAAAATCTTGATTCAGTTGAAAATTCAGATTCTGAAGATAAACATCAAAATGAAACATCATTTACACAAAAACAAATTGATGTTTTAGAACAAGGTATTTTTTTCATATTAAAATAAAAATGAGTATATTTTATATTTTATATTTAGTTTTTAATATTAAACATTATTCAGATATATTTGAACGTGAGAAACTTGCATTAGAACTCAATATATCTGAACCAACAATTCAAGTATATTAAATTAGTATTTTATTTAGAAGAAATTCATTTATTTGTTTTTTTTATATTAAAGATATGGTTTTCTAATCGTCGAATGGAATATCGAGAATCTGAAAGAGTAAAAGTTCATCAGCAAGATCAATCAAAATAGCCAACTCCTTTGCTCTCAGCAGATAAATTCTGCTCTTTAAAGATTTTTCTGTTGTTCTCGTGTTTATAGTGTAAGCAACGTTGTCTTTCTTAAAAATCTTTTTGTCATAAGTAGATAATTATGTCTTGTCATTTCAAGATTAATCAATGTTTAATTAAATTAGAATAATTGTGTCTTGTTGTAACTAAAAATTACTGACTAATTTTATCATGAACATTAGCTATTAACTCGATAAGAACTCGTATGTGCTAAACTAATCATAACTTGATTATATCAGGTGAAAATAATTGAAAAGCTTTATGTGCAATATAGCGTGGCACGATATTTGCGCGCGTGACGTTTGCGCGCAGACAGTTGCGCGCGGACACTTGCGCGCACGACACTTGCGCTCGCGACACTAGCGCGCACAACGTTTGCGCGCGTGGACACTTCAGCGCAATGACATTTTCGCGCACGACACTTGCGCGCAGGACATAAGCGCGCAAATTTTTTAAAATAAAAATTATAGATTAAATATCAAATTACTTTAACAAAATCTGCTTAAGGATCGGTGTGGATATTGTATTATCGTATATCCACACCCAAACCCTCAAGAGTGTGGATGTGGGTGTAGGTATGGTGTGCGAGAAAAGGAGTCCGCAACACCCATACTCACCCACGCTCAAATCCACACGAACACCCTAAACTCCATAATCTCATGTTTTCGAAAAATTTGTTCAAATAAAAGAAAATACATCAGATGTATTAGATGGTAAGTAGATTTTGTTTGAGTAGTTTGATATTTAATCTATAATTTTTATTTTAAAAAATTTGCGCGCTTATGTGCTGCGCGCAAGTATCGTGCGCGAAAATGTCATTGCGCTGAAGTGTCCACGCGCGCAAACGTTGTGCGCGCTAGTGTCGCGAGCGCAAGTATCGTGCGCGCAAGTGTCCGCGCGCAACTGTCTGCGCGCAAATGTCACGCGCGTAAATGTCGTGGAACCGCAATATAGATGATTTAGATTTACATTTTTTACGTGACTTTTGAAAAAATGAAAGATTAACGATACATCTGTATAAATAAACGCATTATTCTAAAATCTATAAGTTTATCAATGCTGAAATTGATATTGAATCATATTTATTAGTATAAAATACAACTATAATTATTTATAAATGAGGGTGTTAGTGTGGGTCTGAGCGTGATGTCTATTTTTCACAACCACTCACACCCACACCCATCTTCATAGCATAACGTCGAAAGCTCCTAACTTAACCTAGGAAGTTCCTAACTTAACTTAGGACATTGCTAACCTAATCTAGAAACTCTTCAATCAATCTTCAAGAGAAAAGCCGGATTACAATTTATATTTTACATGCTATAATTGAATGGTTGTAGTACTAGGAATTTGAATGTTACAAGAATATTTGTATAAATGATCAAAATGATTCGGAAATCTGTGTTTCGGTCATGTTTTTTTCGACAATCTTGCTTTTCGAGTATATGTATTTCGGTGTGAGTTTCGACTAATTTCGTTTTCGATGATGTTCTTTTCGGTGAAAAGGTACACAATCCAAATAAACCCTCAAAAGTTTTAGCATCTCCTCATAAATTATACGAAGTTACTAATCAATTTATTTTTAATATGCTGATTCAAATTAGAGCACTGTTTATATTCATGTGAGATACTAATCAAAAGAAATATTAATATCAGTATGCAGTATGAAAACAATAAGAAACTCACCACGTCAACAATAATTTAAATCGAATGAATCATGTGCCCAAATTTCTGATAATATTCACTTTTTATTGTATGTTGGAAGCGAGTGATGAAGGTAGTTTATTAAAATGATATGAAGACTTTATTCCGATCAGAAAAACAAACAATGAGAGAGAGAATATGCTCTGCAAAGCAAAAGCAAAGCCCTTATATACTCATATGTATATGACTCATGAGATACCACGGCACTCGCCATGACAAATGACGAAGTTATGTTTGCGTAAGTAACTAACAAAAAGTAAAGTTGGTAATTCCAAAGAAATTATCAGAATTCAAAAGCAACAACAACATGGAAATATACATAGTAACCAATCAGTAGTGTTTTCTTTTCTTTTCATAAAAAGAGAAAAAACCATGTATTATTTCATTTAAAACCATGTGAATAAGCAAAAGAAAAACAAATTGACTGTCTACGTGGCTTCTGCTATAAAAAAACATTTTAATATATTCTGCGATAGAATAGACGATATTAAATAGAATCGATGACAGTAACCATGATGATCATATCAGATTCAAGCAACAAAACACATAGCTTCTTATGGGTTCTACATCAAGAATATGTAAGTGGAGGTGTGGGTGCGGGTTTAGGTGTCAGTGGGTGGATAAGAGGAATATCCACGCTCAAACCTTCATTTAAAGCAACACCCACACTCACACCCCGCTCTCAAGAATTTATTTAAATATTTGATTTTTCTTTATCTCTGAAGATAAGTTTAAAATAAAATCTTTTAGTTTGACTTTTTCTAAATGTTTTTTTATTTGACAATTGATCTTTATTTCATTGTTTAAAGATTCAATTCTTAACAAAATTCACAGAAAATAAATGAAATATCGATTGATCTTTTAAATCTTTTCTTTTTATTTTATTTTAAAAAATTATTTTACTTAATAATTTCTTATTCAATAAGATTTAAGAGCACAATTCTTTCGTTAATATTGAAGAAAAAAGAAAAATAATTGACAACAACATTATGATCTCTTAATCGGAGAAGAAGAAGGAAAATGAAATTTAATTACAATGACGAGTTTGTTTGTGAAAAAATATTTTATTATTATTAATAATTAAATCGATTGATCTTCAATTAAAATCATTGAATTTAATGAAAAAAAGAAGAAGTGAAATGATTCAATTCAAAATAATAAAAATTTAATCGATATTCATCAAAGGGTTTCTTTTCACCTTCACCCTTTTTTTCAAACACAATCAAATTTTAATTTATCGAAAAATCAAATAAACTCAGTTTTTACAATTACACATTGATTCAGACGACTTCTTTTTCACAATAATATGCTTATTGTTCAAATATAAGTTGCTCAACAGAATATGAAATCGACGAAATGTTCTGTCTACCAATACATTTACAGAAATAACATAATTCTGTCTATTTCATCAAATTTTTTTGTTTATTTTTCGAAGAGATATTTCTTTTCCATTAAGAAGAATACAATTTTATATCAACAATGTCGAATTGCACAGCACTCAAATCCAATTTATTTCATATGAATTCTTTTTCCCTTTCTTTCCAATAACATTTTTTGTGTATTGTGGACATTGAATGGGTTTTTTCAAGGGGGAAAAAGCGATTTATGATTTTTTGATTAAAATTGATTTTTGTGATTAAAATTGATTTTTTTGATTAAAATTGATTTTTGTGATTAAAATTGATTTTTTGATCAAAATTTGATTTTTAACTGATTTAAATCAGCTTTTTCCCCCTTGGGTTTTTTTCTCAATCATAACACATTCTTTCGAAATAATATGCGTAGTGGGAAAAAAAGAAAAAAAACTGCAAGTGTTGTTACTTTATAAAATAAACGAAAAGAATCATTCCGCGAAAAGAACATTCAGTCACACACACAGAGAATACCATTCGCATCAAGCAAACTATTAATTTTTTCAAATCATTCGATTTAAATAATTCTGTTTGGTAAGTTTTACATATAAATCCTTGAAAAAAAAGAAATGTGTCGAAGTTCTGTTAGTTCTGAATTCTTAAGAATTCGTAAATTTGTAAACCAACTAGAATCGACGGAACTCAAGGAATAAGACAGGGCATGGGTGCGAATATGAGTAAGATATACTTGTTCTAATCCTCTCGATGAGTTCTCTGCTTACTCGTCATTTCTTTGATTCCCAACCTTTTTTTAAGTTCAGAGAATTCTCACATGCCCTTGGGATCTATACGATACTAGCGTTCGAGACTTTCGATTTGCACACAATTTCCTTCTGTTTTAAGAGTTCTCTTAGTTTTTTATTCATTTATCTAGTGAAAAATTGTCAAATTATACCTCATTATGTATGATTATAATCGAATTTTTGTGCAACAAAATCAGGATTATAACCGATTGAAATCTGTTAAATCAACAATAATTCGATTTTTAATCAAAATTATATTTGATTTAGAAGATTAGTTTTTGATTAAAAATCGAATTATTGTTGATTTAACAGATTTCAATCGGTTATAATCCTGATTTTGTTGCATAAAAATTCGATTATAATCATACATAATGAGGTATAATTTGACAATTTTTCACTGGGAATAACTTCATGACTTTTTAATATTTTTGGAACTCACACAAACCAGTTATTTGTTCACTTTTGTGTCTTATGTCAGTTCGGTTCGGTTCTTGAATTCTGTGAGTGCTGTGGATTTTGTGAGTTTGGCCGATGCGATTTCCTATTAGAGTTCATAAGATTTTATTTAATTACGACCGATACATATCTTTTCAGTGTGGGGTGTGGATGGGTGTACGATAGTGTCTTCTTCTCTTACACGTATATTAGCAGCACTTACCCACATCCACACCTTCTCTTGTAGCTTCTATTGAAAGTTCCACATTCTCTTTTTTTTGTTGTGGTGATAGATATTCAAATATTGGAATCTAAATGGCAACAGCACATCGATTTCGAAAGTTAACAATAGAAGAATTTTTAAGTAGTAGCGGTTCGAACCGAGAAGGTGAGTAAAATATTTTTTCAAACTTCTTTTTTAAAAAGAACGCGTCTAGTAATCTTTTAGGTTCTTGCTTCAAACGCCTTCTAAAAGAAGTAAGATGTCTACATGATTGCCCAGATGATATTCTTAGCGTTTCCCTTGCCGCTGAAAGTAACGATTACAAACACTGGGAAGTTATGATAAAAGGGCCCGTGGATACACCATATGAAAATGGTGTATTTGCACTCGATATGCGCTTTCCAGCAAATTATCCACTCAATCCACCAATAGTAAAATTTAAAACAAAAATATATCATCCAAATATAAGCTCGAAAGGAGAAATATGTTTGGATATTCTTCATACCGCATCGTATGCGTCAAACACTCTAAATACAGTTTTACTATCCATTGTTGTTTTGTTATCAGACCCAAATACTGATGATTTTCTTGTGCCAGAGGCTGCCTTATTATACCAAGAAAATCGCACAGAATATAACAGAAAAGCAAAAGAATGGACAAGAAAATACGCTATGGCAGTTGAAGATCCTGTGGAAGCACAAGAAGATCTGAATGACGTAAGTACATTGTATTGTTCCGCATTTTAGATGTGTTTTTCCTCGCCTTAAGGAAGGATTACATGAAAAAGCTAGCTTGTCTGTGTGTTTGTGGCATATGAAAGGTAGAAAGAACATCACATAAGATCCGATACCACGAAAACCATTTCTTACCGCGACAAACCGGAAATTTTTCCTCTCGCAATCTACTAATTTGATTCCTGTGAATTCTCGATCATTATTGATAAAGACACTCGATACTCTGCCTTCATCACTCAAGAATAAGACTCCTAGGACGTGATGGGATCCTTTTTCTGGCAATGGCAGCAGAAGCAACCGATTCTCTTATTATCTTGGAAGGATCCAGGATTTTACTGTCAAGAATGAAAGTCTATCTTCTCTCCCGCTCTTTCCAGCGATGATAGCTTTGTCTCGAGCTATCCTGCCTTCAAACACTCAAAGTTAGAGAAATCAGATCACAGTTAAGAAAGTCGACGAATGAGGCAGTTGTAGCTGCAAAAAACTACTGAAACAGATTGATCATGTCTGAAACAATAAAGCCGTACCGTGTTTGTGCGCTCAAGATTATTCCTCGTTCGAACGTATGAACAGTTTTGATGAAAAAAAATGCTTGAGTACAAGTAGTTAATATCCGATCGATGCTGAGTAATCTAGAGAGAATCCGTTAGTTACCTATTTCGTGAAAGATGAGAGTAGGCGAATAGTTTTCGCTGGATGAATAGTATATCAGATTATAGAAGAACAATAGATGTGTAGTCTTGAGTGATTATCTGACGAATGATACTCGATCATCAAAATGTGAGACAATTGAACTCATGCTGTAAAGGAATGTTCGGCGTGTGAAAGAACACAAGGAGACGACGGGGAATGCATGAGTTAAGAATAAGGCTCCAGAGAGACACCGACGATCGACAGAAAGCTTCTGAATTTCGTAGTATAGATCCTTCTTGAAAGGGAGTGGTCAGAATTGTGAATGTAATTCAGTCGGTGGTAAAGCGAGTTTCACCGACGAGCGTTCTTTTTTTGCAAGTCAATAAATGACTATAAGGTTGATCTAATTAAAAGAATTAGATTGCCAGGGTGACTATGGCTTCAAAACTATCTTAGACTAGGTTTAACCATTTTTCTTCATGCACTCATTGTTTTGAATTGATTTTAAGGGGCATCATTCTACTGATGCAATAATGAAGATGAACATATCATCGTTATCATCAGATCAAATTGAACAAGAAGTTGTTAGTGTTCAATCTGTTGAAGGACGTCGACCTGGTCGATTCGATGTTATTGAACCATTAAAGGCAAAGGCATTTGATAACGGGGAATCGAAAAATCATGTTCCAATTGTTGAAGAATGTCTCAGACCCAGAGAAGATCGCTTAGTTAGACACAGGTAATCTTAGTGTCGTGAACTCGACCTATTCGAAGCGTTGTTTTGGTGTTCCCTTGATTAAATATCATATATTATTTTCAGATATCAGATGTCTTCCGATCATACTATTACAGAAAGACTGGATATTAATTCTGAACTTCAGTTACTGGCCGTAGAATTAGACGAAGTCGGAAACGAGCTTGAAAAACGGTCAGAATCCATGATTTTAATCGAATCATTGCTTAAACTCATTGGTTTGTCTTCTGATGAAGTATGCCAAGGATGCCTACACATCTATTCAATGGAAACATTTCTCTATTCAGAACTCAATCACTTTTTACGCCAAGGTGATCATTCCAAAATCAAAATATTCGGACCATTTGTTCGTTTTCTATGTTTTTGTTTTGAACATCCTTCATCAGTCGAAGTTCATGGTATAGAAGTTTACCGTGGAATGAATTTATCATTGTCCATGATCGATACTTATAAAGAAGCTGCGAAAAGTAGTATAACATATCAATGGACTGGTTTTAGTTCAACAAGTAAAAGCCAAGAATTTGCTGAAAATTTCCATACTAACACAGTGCTCATTATGCAACTAAAAAAAATATATTCAAAAGAAAAGAAAGCTATTGATATCAGTGGCTATTCAGAATGTCCAAAAGAAGAAGAAGTATTGTTAAAAACTGGTGTTGAATTCACAGTCGAAAATGTTACTTATGATGATAAGAAGAAAAAACATTATATTAATCTTAATGTTTATGTTTAACAATCTCCACGTAAATTTAAAACAAACTGCTAGCTTTTTCTCACTAATAATATTACAGAGGATTAGAGTGTAAACAAGAAAGCACACCATGATCACTATCTCGACCATCTTTATCGGTCGCATCAGACGACCTAAATTGAATAAATAAACTATTCTGACGAACCAAAGATCACACATAAAATATATAATATATGCCAGCAATCTATATAACTCTTCAAAGTAAAGCAATAGATAACTTGAACGTGTGGGTGTCGGTTTGAGTGTCGAATGAAAAGAATACCCCCACCCTCAAATATGTCTTATTCTAATCAACAATAGAAAATCATTCGTATGAGAAAAGAAAACGACTTGAAAATTTACATTCAGCTTTCAGTTAAGATTACCGCATCAGTACAGTATTATCAAATAGAGAATTATTTTTGTAATCAAGACTACTTTATATGTATGTGACAAAATAAATTTTAGCATATGGTTGGCTAAAAGTGAGGGTGGGTGAGTGAGTGTTGCTAAAATTTTTATTGAATGACTACATCAACGTGGCAAGTAGTCCAAAGTCGAAAAATGTTCTTTTTGATCTATTGAACCTATGTTTCTCAAAATTTATCGAATATAACGTTCTCGAAAGTGTTCTGATTGTTCATTTTGAGCAATTGATTCTAGTTCTTGAAATTATTAAAATAATTGTTAAGCCTTTATATTTTAAACATTTATTGACAATAGTCAATATTGATAAAGATGACAGAAGAGTGTGGGTGTAAGTGATGGTGCCTAGTGGATATTTTTTCTGCTATATCCACATCCACACCCGTTCAATAATATCAAACAGAAATGTATCTTTATTCTGATTGTTTTCTATAAACAACTGATTAAACAGATTGATAAAAACAAATTTTATCCGATTGACATATATTCGTTTACATACTCACACTAACAAAAGTATTGTTTACAAAAAAAAATGAATAGAAACAAATATGATCTGAACATTTAAATAAACTTATTCCCGTAGTTCCATATAGATATTGAATCTGTTCTTCGCATCTGAAGTTTTATTGACACTGACATTGGCATTTTGGTAGTTTCCTATTTGCCCATGTATAAAAAGGCATTTCAACATAATGACGAGCAAATACAGCAATGCCAATACCAGCAAATAGTTTCATAATTACACTGTCTTCATTTTTACCTGATATTAGTAAAAATATTGTCGGCAATGTGTCAACCAGACAATAAAATGCATAAGAAATTTCACCCATATTTATTAATAACGATGTTGTTAATAGTCTTGATGTTAATGATAAAGAATATTTAGCAGAAAAATATAGATATGTACACATAATTAGAGAAATCAGTGGTCCCATACATATTAAAGAAGAATATCCATAAAACATTGGTTCATTAAATAGAAGTGGTGCACAAATAAAAATAAAAAATAATAATCCCAATAAGAAATAAATATCAAACATGAAACAATAACAATTATATTTTAAATGACTATTATTTGTATGTGATATGGATGTTGATGAAGATTCATTTTTCTCTTGTTGTTTATCATTTGATAGTGAAGTAATGACTACATTCATATCAGATTGATTCGTTTGATTATCTATTGGCGATTTTAATATAAATATAATACCTGTCAGTATCCCAAGAGTAAATTCAAAAATTCGTGTCAAAGGTGAAACATATATTACTGATGTTGAAGCAAATTGATATGCTGTATTCGTTATATGATCAAGTATCGTGAATCGAAATAGAAAAGGTATTGTTGAAATACATAGAACTATGAACCACATGAAATATAAACGTATCAATGCTTTTGTCTTATTATTGACATTTGAAAGAAGACTAATCTTTGTTGTATTTAATAAATAGCGAATTAGACGAAGAAGAAAAGGAAAAACAAGATACAAGAACCATTCTGTTTGTACACTCCATATTGCAGCATTCCATTTTTCAAAATCTAATCTATAAGGAATCCATGTTCGTACAGGTAATAAAGTTGATACAATAAGTATGAAATACTCTCTAGTACATGATTTATCTTTAACCCATACACATCGAATGTCATAAATAGATAAAAGCAATGAAAAATAATATAGGGGGAATAATCGAGCTGCTCTTCGCCCAATAAACGACCAATAACATTTTGTGGATTTGAATTCACAATCACCATATGTCCAAACCATGACAAAACCACTCAAACAGAAGAATAATGTGACACCCGCCGCTCCACTCCATGATACCCATTCAATATGAAATTTTACGATTTCGTCCATTTTGTTCAACGTACTATGAAACATAAATATCCACAAACATGCTAACGCACGAAAGCCTGTAAAAACATGAATTAATGGACGACGAGTAGGCTGCTTAACTTTGCTTTCAGATTGAACTTGTTCAATATTGACAATAGGTGACAGTTCCATATCTTATTTTTATGCGCGAATGTTGTTTGAAATGATGATTATGTTGAAATGAATTCTTATAACTATAATCATGTGTCAACAGAGTGTTTAAGTATGCGCGTAAGAGGAAAACAGAACATGAATCATGCATGTAACATAGACGCAAGAGGAATGTATCGTCTCATCACATGAACGCGATGTTCAAGTATGACGTCATGATTTGACTTGATGCACCTCTACAATGATTCTCATACTTCTTTTGAATTAGTTTAGACTCTTCCAAAGGTTATCTACATAGAATCAAGTTAAAGTCGAGAAAAGTTATTAAAGTATCAACAAATTATATTATCAGATAAACAACGTTCATCAACGACATCTATCTGGTGACAGTACATCTTTTCTATTTTTATTCGCACACACATACACACCCTCATCCATGATCATATTGGAATTAAACTTCGACAAATCAAGGGTGTAGATGTGGGTGTTACGGGCTCCTCTACTCTCACACCCTCAAGATTAGCACAGAGCTTGTGCACCTTACGTTATATCTCTACAATCAGTGATGAGAATACACTTTCTATAATTGCTGTAATAATTGTTTTTTTATATCAACATTCGATTTCGTCTTCACCTCAATACTTTGTTGAGAATGTAAGTTTAAATATTCGATTAATATCATATGTGAATATTAATACAATTTTTTTAATGTGTATTAATGACAATGTTTTATGCGAATCAGCCAATGCGAGATAAACACTATACACATTCTCGTTCTTGTCGTGTTTCTTTCTTTTTCTTACTTATTTATGGACGTTTATCTCTTTTTCTCTCTCCACCATTGTTATTCTTTTCATAAGATGATCATTTTGTTTATTGCTTTGTTCACCTTCATATATTATATATCATTCTCTCTGTAGGGCAAAGTATGTCAGAATTAAAAACAAGAACATTTCAATAGTTAGAACAGTTGTTTTTCTAGTAATTAATAATTAGCAAGACCAAGGGCAAGCAATGTCTAAATGAATTCCTAATTGAAGTACTGAAAACATAACATTGTGACAGAAACTCATCTCATTAATTGAACTTTAGACATATATTTGACTTTAGTCTAACTTTAATTGTTTTTTATTGCAGATAATTTGTATTGTGAATATGACTGCAATGCGTGGTAACAGTTATTATAGTAAAAATACAGTTATTTATTATGACTCGATGATTGAAGATGTTAGATTCTATCTTATTTTATAGTAATTCCAACGCAAACAACAAATATACCATCAACACCAAATAGTAAATATAATCAATACGTGTCGTCGATGCATAATAAAAAGAGAATTAATTTCTTCTAATTTTTATTTATTATAGCACAAAACGTGGTGTAGCAACAGTAGACCTGACATAATTGTTACAAACTACGAAGATGATAGTATCAGTATTCTCTTATCTTAATTTCCATATATATACCATTTACAGAGTCTAGTTATTTTGCAATGAAATAAGTTTATTTTGAATACGATAAAAGATTAGATATTTTTAAAAATTAATGAACAATAAAATAAAAGTTAAAAAGCATTAAAATTATGTTAATAAATTATTTTAGTTAGAAAGAACAGGATCGAGTCCGCATGTATTACAACATGGTGGTTTTCCACAACAATTAAGGCACATTGTCGGTGGACCAGGTTTGCTGATTGGAACAGGAAAAGCTCTTTTAGATTTGATTGATTTTGTGTTTATATCAGTAGTGGCTTGTTTGTTCGTACCATCACAATTAGGTAAACCACAACAGTTACAACATGGAGGTTTGCCACAACACATTAAGCAAGCTTTGGGTGGCTTAGATGGACTCGAATACACATGATTGATAATAAAAATCAGAAGAAGAACAGTAAATAGATAACACTGACGCATGTTCAGTTTAATACTAAAAATGTACAAATGACGAGCTTATGCGAACTTAAAATCGTAATTGTTTATACATACTTACCACAGAAAGAATTCTGAGTTATATCGTTTAATTGATTAGTTGAAGTGATTTTTTGATGCACTATCGTATGGTTTATATACGCGCTCGATTCACATACGTGCATGACTTATTCTTTCCTTCAATGTAATATGACGACGCATATTTATCAGGTACGTATTTTTTATCTGTAGATACTAGGAAGTATATGATAAAAATTGTCCGTCAATTTACATTTTATATATTGATCGATAGAAAACGTGCGCTCTTCGAACGATACATAAAAATATTATTGATTTCATAACTATGTAACTATAATTGAGCTGAAATGTACGCTGTATACATGTAGGATATCTCAAATGATTAAGCACTTGTTCGTAGAAAATTTCGAAATAAGTTTGAGAAAAATGGTGTGCAAGCATAATCTCAGAAATTTCTCCTCATCTTTCATTTAGATAGTAAACTTGCTATTAGAACTACGTATAGCTGTCCTTTCAATACTATTCGAACTTGTTTTATTTTAATAGTCAACCCATTACACAAACCTAAAATAGTAATAATTATATGATATGTAAAAAAGAATAATCTATCTGCTGTATATTCAATTTTTTCATCATATTCATATTTAAAATAGCTTCGGAACATGATCGAGACAGTACAGATATATATATTAACAATTTTTGTTGACACTCTCACTGAATATATTCTCTTTTTAAAATGCAAATTAAAAAATAAACATAACGATTCAAGTTATCATAGTTCCAGTTGTCATATAGTCAAGCACGTTAGTTTTTAATTATAATTTTTTTCTATGGTCGTAAATAAATCTTTGTTTTCTATAGCTAATTCTTCGTTAATACGCAAGTTACAGTGCATTCATAAGATCATGCAGAGTTCATATCACTTGTATAATAATGAAAACTTTATGATTAATATTAATAACAGTTAGAAAAAAAAGTGGGTGATATCAAAGAGTATAGGTCCTTTTTGTCAATTTTTTGTTGTTATTTTACGAAAGTTAGAATTATATATAAATTTTGAGTCATGAAAAAATATGTAATCGTACAACAGAAGTACAAATAAAAAGAATTCTGTAAATTGTAATCAATGCTAAGTCATGATTAATGTTGCGAATATGCTTGTATATATGTAGCATTACATTTATTCAATATTTTCACTTTTCTCAATTTCGATTGAAGAGTATCATAATGTGTTTTTCTCATAGTTGATATAAAATTGCTTTGGTGTCGAAATTTTTAACATGATTTTAAATAACTTTTGATCGTTATTAAATTTTTCTTGATAAATTACTTCGATTTCAAGTAGCTTCTTTTTCTTTTGCTTTCTAATGAGATTTTGAAATTGATTCAGTTATTTAAAAACGCGTTTTTCCTGAGATTACCCCAGGTAAAATTTTAGAGAATTATGGAAATACTCTAAGGATATTAAAAAATATACAGATCGACTCAGTTTCGTGTCCTGATTTCAAATATATCATTCTTTTCTATCTAAAAGTCAAATGAATCGTATAAAAACCATTAAAAACCACTAAAATAAGGTAAAAATCAAGGCTCACACGGCTCCTCGTGCGTCAGATTTTGCTTCTCATCACAAAGTCAGAAAAAGGTCACGTTGGTCTCATTCGATAGAGAAAAGGTTGGAATATCTGCTGGCATCATCAGAATAAAAAGTGTAAGGAAAAGTTCCAATTTTCTATAAATCTGGATTTCTGGAAAATCCTACTAAAGTTTTTCAAAAAATTTGGCTTTTATATATTTTGATAGCTCCAACATTTCTCTTTCGAACGGTGAAAATCGCAGCTCTCTATCTTGTTCTGTTCGATAGTTATTCAAGAAATAATGGTCTCTTATTTTTTGAAACCGATATTAGTATGTTGCAGATGTAGACATGATATATGAATTAGAGATCGAAATTATTCATCCTACAGTTCGTATAAATGAAATAAGGCTGTACAATAGTTACAATATTATTTCAATGACCAAGATCCTCTAAAAGTCAGCAGCGATTCGTGCTCATCCACATCCCTACCTCCCCGAAACAAATGTCGAATATCAGCTGATAGATAAAATATATGTTGGAAAAATAACTTGGAGAAAAAAGTTCTTATCTGTCTTTCTTATCAAGCAACCGTTATTCTCATACAAAAATAATAAAGATAAATACGAAACTTTCGACGAATTTTTAAGATTTTATCTCAAACTGGAGGCATATATATATATATATGGCTGCACACATCAATGTAAATTAGAATATTACTTGAACTGTATTTATTTGTACATTAGAGCAAATAAGATGGCTCTTGTTTTTCAACGAAATGAATTTAGTCTTGAGGATTTCGGGACTACAGTAACAGTACCCAGCAATGATGTTGCACGACTGATGTATTACTTGAATTGTGTGTGTACAGCCATCGATTGCAATCGTGATCCTGACATCCAACGTTTTACGAGCTATAACAATTGGTCTTCTTTGTCCATCACAGAACAAAAACAGCTTCTCGTCGTCTGTTACAGATTTAGTCCTGATGTGTTCGATGATCGAGTGTTCTTTCATAGTGACGAATTATGCAGAGGCAGTGCGAATAAGTTCTACCGAATCAACCAAGTTCGTCACCAACTATTAGCAGCTGAATCTATTGTCATCGCTGGGCAAGTGCGCGAAGTTCATCAAATCATGACTTATACGATGGGATGGATGAAAACATATTATTTTAATCCAATGCAGCGACTGGCACAGAGATTCAGCACTCCACGTCCTGCAATTACGAATACATATACATCAACTTATACACCATCTGTCGTACGACAGCCGGCAAGAGAAACTAGTTCGAAGAAATGTAACTCTAGTTGTGTCTGTATTGTTCTTTATTGCCTTTTGTGTATACTCCCCGGAATCATTGGTTTCATCGTTGCTCTTACCAAATCGTAGCTTCGATACGACGAAAAGACTAATACTTCTGTTTCTTTTGCATTACTTTTCACTGATTGCATCAACGTTTTTTGTACTCATAATTTTACGTCCAGTTCAATACATTACCACTTGTAAGCAGAAATCAACGTATTTTGAGCGTTTAGATGAAGAAATAAGCAGGGTGTGGGTGTGGGTGGATGCGAAAATAACGCTCACCTCCATTCCCACACCCTCCATCAAGATGATAAATTTAATTAATAATAAATAATATCATTAATGATTGCTCTTATTCATATCTTTTTATTGTCAAAAAGACGACATTTGTTGCGGTAGAAACGATGATTTTTGTTTTATGATTAGCAGAAATGTTGAATGATGCCATTTTGTCGTTATAGCAACTCAACTTTTATTTCGTTCTATATTCTGCTGTGTATGTTGACATTCTTATCACGATGACGAACGTAAAGCAATCCTTATAAACAAACATTTTATCGTTCTGCCATACCATCAGATTCTTTCATGTAATGCTCTGCAAATAACTCGCTTTAATGTAGAGTAAAGAAGAATTTTTTTGTATAAATCGGATTGAAAATGTGCAGAACATTTAAGAGTATAGAAACAGTAGTTTGGATATACACAGACTCAGTTTTATTCTGGAACAACACGGTATAACAATAGATAGAATTAAGAAGACAAAAACAATTTTTTGCCATTTCTGACTTTTAATGCATTTTATTAATTATAGATATCAAATATCACTTCTTAAATCTTTAATTTACTCAATAGATTTGTGTAAATGATTGAAAAGAAGACTCGACATATAATTCTTAATATAATAGATATTATTATTGATATATTCAATCTTGCTGAACAATTAGGTATTTATTTTATTGTTAAACAAAATGATCTTGATGAAACTGCTCAACAACGTTTCTTTTTCATATTATTTGGCGTTGGTGCTGCTTCATTATTCAAACCATTATTTGTTCATCCAAGTGTTAAAACTGCATTTGGTTTATGTATTGACATTGCTGAACTAGTATCATATTTAACATTATTAACAAATACAACTAGTTTACTGATTGTAGCCATATTATTTTTTATTCTTGAAGCTATTCTTCGCTTTAACTTGTGATGGAAATTATTGGAAAGAGTGCGGTGTTGCCTGGTGTACAATACCAGTACGTATAATTTTATATAGGGCAATGTTTGAAACACAAATACTATTCTTATTTGTTGATCCAACATCACCATTTCGAGATACATTTTATGAAATTCTGATGGTTTTATCCACATTTTTTGGTGTAATTACAGTAGAAAAACTTTCTGCACATCTCTGTCATATGAATAATGATGAGGATGAGGATGAAGATAAAATATATTCTATCTGGGAAGGATTTATAGCTATATTAACCATCACAGAAAGTTTTATTCTCATAATCACTGCTGTCGTATATGCTGTTCAACTAGTTCAAAATAGATCACAATTAAAAACATATGATTTTGTTATTTATATTATTATTTTAGTTTATTATGGATCAACTCTATTCGCACTTGCATGTGCTTTTGGATTTACTCTATGTTTATGTGCTGGTGCATTGTTAAAATTCTTAAAAAAGTGTCTTTTCTCTAATAAACAATCTCAAATAAAGATCTTGAATGTGCGAGTTTGGGTGAACAGAGATATTCAGATCATCTTTCACTGACTGATACTGTTATTCTGTTGAAAATTAATGTATGATAATGGATAGCATTTTCAAAACTGAATAAAATTCATTGCTCTGCACGTCAGATATTCGAGAGAGAGAGAAAGAAAAGATATAGAATACAAATACTCTTGATTGAAAATCTTGATAGTGTGGGTGTGGGTG